CCTTCTTTGCTTTTGGATAACATGTTCTCCTAGTTTATGTGTGAAATCATATGGATTTTCAGCATTGTAAAATTAGAAAGAAGTTCGTTCTTGGTTTCCCTAGGTTAACATACAGGATATTTTGGTAAGTGTGATTTTCAATGATAATTGGCTGGGGAAAAATCAATGAGATGAATCAGCCACTGAACTGTTTGAAACAGGAACATTGTTTGGTTTAATTGGTACGTTGGATTTGTAGATGTGTTTAATTTCAACTCTCAAACTCCAGGTTTACTAATACAGCTCCCAACCTTAGCACAGATTTAGCCACACTAGGATGGACATACTTTTTGATTAGTCTTTTTGTCAGACCCCGAGTATCAGGCATAACTTTCTCAATGTTAATGGTTAAAAAGTTACGAGAAATAAGAGTGGGAGAATCTCATCCTGATTTTGTTTTGTTCTCCTAGATTTCTTATCAATTAGAGATAAAAAAATATAGCAAAGAAAGGGTTACTTGGGGGAGTGAGAGTGGTAACTAAGGGGCTGTGCTTTTCGTTTTATCTTCCCCTTGTGGTGCTGCTTTCCTGCTCCAAGCTTGAATTTGCAATAAGTGGATTCACCCCTAGTCTGCCGACTCGGATGTGGACTGCGCATGAGGCTCTTTTCTTTTAGCACCTTCATTCTGCATAGAGATGTGAAGTTTTAAGCACTGTAGTCAACTTTGGTGGGTTTAGGATATCTGAAGAGTTTCATCGAATGATATGTGGGGTGTTACTAGGAAGAGAAGAAAGTTGTGTTTTTGGCCATTCTTGCTATTGCACTTGGTTGTGATTGTTCGACTACAAACTGTTATTTGAAAATTTCAATACAATTTTTGGGCTTTATCAACTTGATGCATGTCTGTAATATTGAAACTACAAGTCAATGGAACTCCTTGATTATTATGTCACTCAATGTATATGCACTCATTTTCAGCATTCGACACTATTATTTTCTCAAATTGTATGCCCTTATCTGTTTTCTTTTTTGTATATGTCAAACCTGTAGTGAATCCTTTCTCATGCATTTTTTCCATTCCATTTCTACATGGTTGGGGTTGCAGACTTCTGCAAAAATTTCCCAATTTATGTTGAATTTTAATAACTTATGAATGATTCGTATGTTAATATTGGTATTAAAAAAAGTAGCATATGTCAATTCTATGAGAATGAGTGCATTTTTTTTTTTCTGGAAATGGTTTATTGTAATTTTTACATGTAACTGTTCGCCTCATCCGCTAATGATTGGTAACCTACTGTGTTCTAACTATGAGATTGCTCACCATGGGTATGTGTGATTGCTATTTTTCAGTTTTGACTTGACTGTGGTCGATGATACACCATTCTCAGTTATTTGTTCTAGGACAGTTTGGTCTCCAATTATTTATCCCTCCTTTTCCTTGCTGAATGTCTCTGTCGTCCTTGGTTGCTTGATATTGATAGCTTTTAATGGCGAACAAATATTTATGCAGGCTGACTTAGGTGTGAAGACAAAGACCCAACTTATGGCTGAGAAAACTGTGTTCAAGATTCTCTTGATAACCATCATTGCTGCAAATGCCGAACCTGATTTGCATGATTTGAAGGACGAATATGTTGAAAATGTTTGCCGCCATTTTGCAATCCTATTTCACATAGACAATTCCTCAGCTAACACATCGGCTCCAAGTGCTCCGCTAGGTGGTCCTATGCTTTCATCGAATTCCAGTGTCGGCTCAAAGTTAAGAAATAGTACTTGCTCTAATCTGAAAGAGTTGGACCCCCTAATCTTTTTAGATGCGTTAGTGGATGTGCTGGCAGATGAGAATAGACTGCATGCTAAAGCTGCTCTGAGTGCACTGACTGTATTTGCTGAGACACTTCTCCTCCTTGCACGCTCAAGACATGCTGACGTGCTTATGTCAAGAGGAGGTCCTGGTACTCCTATGATCGTCTCTAGTCCATCAATGAGTCCTGTGTATTCTCCTCCTCCAAGTGTTCGAATACCGGTTTTTGAGCAACTTTTACCTCGTCTTTTGCATTGTTGCTATGGAAGTACTTGGCAAGCTCAAATGGGAGGAGTTATGGGGCTTGGTGCTTTGGTTGGAAAGGTCACTGTTGAAACTTTATGCCTTTTCCAAGTACTAATTGTTCGTGGGCTGGTATATGTTCTTAAAAGGCTCCCCATATATGCTAGTAAAGAGCAGGAAGAGACAAGTCAGGTGCTTACACAGGTTCTCCGTGTTGTGAATAATGTTGATGAAGCAAACAGCGAAGCTCGGAGGCAAAGTTTTCAAGGAGTTGTTGAATTTCTTGCATCAGAATTATTTAATGCCAATGCATCTATTAATGTAAGAAAGATTGTGCAGTCTTGTTTGGCACTTTTGGCAAGTAGAACTGGCAGTGAGGTATCTGAGTTGCTTGAACCGTTGTACCAACCTTTGCTTCAGCCTCTTATAATGCGTCCACTTCGTTTAAAGACTGTTGATCAACAGGTAGATTTTTGTTTCCCATTGTTGTGTTTACTGCTTGCTGATATTATTAATTAACTTTATTGTGTGGCATTTAGGTTGGAACAGTTACTGCTTTGAATTTCTGCTTGGCTTTGAGGCCCCCTCTTCTGAAGTTGAATCAAGAACTAGTGACTTTCCTGCAAGAAGCATTGCAAATAGCTGAGGCTGATGAAACTGTGTGGGTTGTGAAGTATATGAACCCAAAAGTTGTTACATCGTTAAATAAGCTCCGCACTGCTTGCATTGAACTACTATGTACGGCAATGGCATGGGCAGATTTCAAAACTCAAAATCATTCTGAATTGCGTGCTAAAATTATTTCCATGTTTTTCAAATCCTTGACGAGCAGGACACCAGAAATTGTAGCTGTTGCTAAGGAGGGCTTAAGACAGGTTTTTGGTGCTTGTTCTATTGTTTGTATTGATTATTTGTTATTGGGTAGACTGAAATGTTTGGTAAACAATTTCATTATTATTTTTAGTAACAGATTTTGTCTGATTGTTCTATGTTTAGGTTTTACTAGCTTAGTGTGGTTGACCTCGTTATATTCATCACATGGTTTAGAAGTAGGGTGGATTAGTGAGGAAGGTTGGTTTGGTTGGATGATGGCTTATCCCGTTTACATGGGCTTTAATTAAGTACATATAATAGCCAATAGGTGGTATTTCTTACTTGTGCAAGAGTAACCTGCCCAAATGTTTGAAATGTTGAGTTGCTTTCTTCTTGGGTTTGGTGTCGTCCCTTTTGCATATTTTCTGTTTAATAGTCAGAATTTTGAAGCTCGCTCCTTTTTCTGTTGTCTTTTTTAGGTTATTTTACAGCAAAGGATGCCCAAAGAACTTCTGCAGAGCAGCCTGAGACCAATATTGGTTAACTTGGCACATACCAAAAATCTTAGCATGCCTCTTTTGCAAGGTCTGGCCCGTCTGCTTGAACTTCTGTCCAACTGGTTCAATGTTACATTGGGTGGTAAATTGTTAGAGCATCTTAAGAAATGGTTGGAACCCGAGAAACTCGCACAATGTCAGAAGTTGTGGAAGGCTGGTGAAGAACCAAAAATAGCTGCTGGTGAATTATCTAGTTTGTGTTTTTATTGTTAAAGTTGTTCGTGCACACACACTCACAGATACAAATGTTGATGTGCTGATTTAATTTATTGATCGTCTTTCAGCTATTATCGAGCTTTTCCACCTCCTTCCTTCTGCAGCAGGGAAGTTCCTTGATGAGCTTGTAACCCTGACTATTGATTTGGAAGCTGCCCTTCCCCCGGGACAGTTTTATAGTGAGATTAATAGTCCATATAGACTTCCACTGACCAAGTTTTTAAATCGTTATCCAGCAGCGGCTGTTGATTATTTTCTTAGTCGCTTATGCCAGTCAAAATATTTTAGTCGGTAAGGTTGAGATTCTCAAGTGAATTTATAGATCTATGGTTGGCCTGAAAAACAAATCAGTGAAGTTTTTGATTCTTATGTTCTTAATTTTTTATTTTTTGGCATAAAATCCAGGTTTATGTATATTATACGGTCAGATGCTGGCCAACCATTGAGAGAAGAACTTGCGAAGTCGCCAGAGAAGATACTTGCAAGTGCCTTTCCTGAATTTTTACCAAAAACAGACACATCAATGGCTCAGGGAGCTTTTACTCCACCTACAGCTTTGATGGGTGATGAGGGCATTGTCACTCCTCAACCTGAAAGTTCTAATCCGACTTCTGCCAACTCGGGTGAAACCACAGATGCGTATTTTCAGGGACTTGCACTGGTCAAGACTTTGGTTAAACTGATGCCAGGCTGGTTGCAGAGTAATCGTGTTGTTTTTGATACATTAGTACTTCTGTATAAATCACCTGCAAGAATTGTCCGTTTGCAAAATGAGCAGGAACTGAACCTAGTGCAAGTAAGTCTGATGACCATCAATCAGAAGTTGTAAATTTGGTCTGCCTTGTTTTTTTCCTAAACTGTAAAGTGTCTGGAACTCTTGCATTTCCTCCTCGAGGCATGGAAAAGGTTTTATATTCTCGTTAAGATATCAGAGCAGTCATTCCAATTTCTTGAACTTTGCACCTATCCTTAGAGAACTTTATCAGTGAAGTCTGCCCACTATATTGATACAGTAGGTTGAGTTATTAGTCTATTCTAATATTTTACTCTGCCCTTTCTTTTCTCATTCCACTGTTGCAGATCCATGTATTTCAGAGTCAAGTTTGTATGCGTCACTTTTTATTAAAAAAAAAAAGGAACAGTATCTGGGTCTTGGCCGTCCCGTAGAGGATGTTTTCCCAATTGCTATGCATGGTTCATGGACATTTTCCAAGTAACTTGTGCTTATTTTTCTTCTATTAACATTTTTTTTGGGGAAATTAGTGTTATTAAAAAGTTGAGCTCTATAAATGGATCGCTCACGTGAACTTCTCATTATTCCAACAAAAAAGAAAAGAAAAAANGCAAGTGCCTTTCCTGAATTTTTACCAAAAACAGACACATCAATGGCTCAGGGAGCTTTTACTCCACCTACAGCTTTGATGGGTGATGAGGGCATTGTCACTCCTCAACCTGAAAGTTCTAATCCGACTTCTGCCAACTCGGGTGAAACCACAGATGCGTATTTTCAGGGACTTGCACTGGTCAAGACTTTGGTTAAACTGATGCCAGGCTGGTTGCAGAGTAATCGTGTTGTTTTTGATACATTAGTACTTCTGTATAAATCACCTGCAAGAATTGTCCGTTTGCAAAATGAGCAGGAACTGAACCTAATGCAAGTAAGTCTGATGACCATCAAGCGGAAGTTGTAAAATTGGTCTGCCTTGTTTTTTTCCTAAACTGTAAAGTGTCTGGAACTCTTGCATTTCCTCCTCGAGGCTTGGAAAAGGTTTGATATTCTCGTTAAGATATCAGAGCAGTCATTCCAATTTCTTGAACTTTGCACCCACCCTTAGAGAACTTTATCAGTGAAGTCTGCCCACTATATTGATACAGTAGGTTGAGTTATTAGTCTATTCTAATATTCTACTCTACCCTTTGTTTTCTCATTCCACTGTTGCAGATCCATGTATTTCAGAGTCAAGTTTGTATGCGTCACTTCTTATTTTAAAAAAAAAAAAAAAAAAGAGGAACAGTATCTGGGTCTTGGCCGTCCCGTAGAGGATGTTTTCCCAATTGCTATGCATGGTTCATGGACATTTTCCAAGTAACTTATGCTTATTTTTCTTCCATTAACATTTTTTTTGGGGAAATTAGTGTTATTAAAAAGTTGAGCTCTATAAATGGATCGCTCACGTGAACTTCTCATTATTCCAACAAAAAAGAAAAGAAAAAAAGGAATGAAAGAATTCTTCTTTTGCTATGTTATTGCAGGTAAGAGTGCTTATATTTGTATGCTGTACCCATACTCAATGCATTAAGAAAAAAAAGTTGTAATTGAGCTTCGTGTTACTGATTTAATGTTCAAGTTTCATTTTTCATCTGTGTTAATAAGAAAAAAGAAATCTTACTGTCACTGTTTCTTGCAACTGTGACACAGATCTGTTATAATGTGTGCAGTATTTTTCACTTTTAATAGTCGATACCTATATTGATTTTCTATTTGATTAAGTATGCAAATTCCAAGCTGATTTCGAGATAATTTATATATTGCAGGTGAAAGAAAGCAAATGGCTTGTCAAATGCTTCCTGAATTTCTTACGCCATGATAAGAGTGAAGTCAATGTTCTATTTGATATCCTCTCCATATTCTTGTTTCGTACACGCATCGATTTTACTTTCCTGAAGGAGTTCTATATTATTGAGGTATGCTTATTTTGGAGAGAATGATTAATTTCCTGTGTTCATTTTTTGTCGTGTTTTCTTTTTCTCTGTCATTTTCTGTTATTAATATTCTGTTTTGATACCGTTTCCAATCCTTACTTTGCTATTCAGGTTGCTGAGGGCTATCCACCCAACATGAAGAAAACCCTCCTTTTGCATTTTTTGAATCTTTTCCAATTAAAACAGCTTGGTCATGATCACTTGGTGGTGGTCATACAAATGCTCATTCTCCCTATGTTAGCTCATGCTTTCCAGAATGGCCAAAGTTGGGAAGTTGTGGACACCACTATTGTTAAGACCATTGTTGACAAGCTTCTTGATCCTCCAGAAGAGGTAAATAATTGATGCATAATTTTTATGACACTTTTTCCTTGTATCAATTCTTGTTTCTAACTTGGCAAGGCATTTGTGCGGTCCACATATTTATATATTGAGGATTTTCTTATCTTTTGTAGGTCTCTGCTGATTATGATGAGCCCTTGAGGATAGAGCTTTTGCAGCTTGCCACTCTACTTCTCAAGTATCTTCAGAGTGACCTTGTTCATCACAGGAAGGAACTCATTAAATTTGGCTGGAATCATCTCAAACGTGAAGACAGTGCGAGTAAACAGTGGGCATTTGTGAATGTTTGCCACTTCTTGGAGGCATATCAGGCGCCCGAGAAAATAATACTCCAGGTAGCTTCATAAATCTATAACCATAGCCAGCTATATGTTCACTATTACTACTATATTGTGTGTCGTAATTACTATTCATTGCTTTCCCTTTACATCACCTAATAGGCATGGCAAACTTCATATTACCAATTTCAAATTCATAGTTTGATTCTGTGTACCCTCATGTCCTCAGCAGAGAAATAGGTGAGAAAAAGAACATCTGGTGCTTGANCAAATTTCAAATTCTTAGTTTGATTCTGTGTACCCTCATATCCTCAGCAGAGAAATAGGTGAGAAAAAGAACATCTGGAGCTTGAATCATCAATGCTTTATTCTATTAATGAACTGGTCAAAATGAGTCAAAGTAGTTATAACTTGGGAATGCTATTGAAGGCTTCACAAAGGATAAATAAAGGAAGAGAGTTTGATTGTCATATGAATGAAATTACTTTTGTTCCAGTCTGACTTCAAGAATGATAGCATTTTGCTCCATGTTTCGTTCATGCATCAAGGGTTAAAAGGGTTTTGAAAGTGTGTTGAATAAGATTTTCAGAATATTTTTCCAATCGAATCTATTGTTCTTCTCAAATTTGTAATACAGTTTTCTGCTCACTTTTTTTTTTTTTTTTAATCTGTGAATCTAGGTAAAGAAAGTTCCAACTGTTTCTTCATGGTCACTTCATCTTTGCTATGAGGCTGTTTCTGCTTCCCAAAATTTTCCATTTTTCCTCATAATAGATGCCATTAGACAGGGCTCCAGATGCCACCGACACCTACCTTTAACATCCAAGAGAAAACTTAGTCCCCAGATGATGCAGTGCTTTGGCAATGTAGGATTTGTAGTCTATTCTGCACTGTTATTTGTTGGGGACAAAGCTATCTATTGTTAAAACTTTATCTACTGCATTTTCTGTTAGTACCTTGGAATTATGTGGATTGAATGTTTGGGAAACATATTCTTTTGTGTTTTAGATAACTAATTTTTTTTCTATGACTTACATTATCTTGAGATCCCAACTCTTACACCAATTAAGAAATTGTACTCACAGCAAGTTGAAACTGCAGGTGTTTGTGGCGCTTCTTCGAACTTGTCAGCCGGAGAATAAAATGTTGGTCAAGCAAGCTCTTGATATTTTAATGCCAGCACTTCCACGAAGATTGCCACTTGGTGATTCCCCTATGCCAATTTGGATACGTTACACAAAAAAAATCCTTGTCGAGGAAGGACACTCAATTCCGAATCTAATCCACATATTTCAGCTCATAGTCCGCCATTCAGATCTCTTTTACAGCTGCAGAGCACAATTTGTGCCTCAGATGGTGAATTCACTCAGTCGCCTTGGATTGCCATATAATACTACTGCAGAAAATAGGCGTCTCGCAATTGAACTTGCTGGATTGGTTGTCAGTTGGGAAAGGCAAAGACAAAATGAAATGAAAATAGTAACCGACAGTGATATTCCTCACCAGAGTACCGATGGATATAGCCATGGGTCAACTGGTGTTGATCCTAAGCGTTCGGTGGATGGATCTTCATTTTCCGAAGATCCAAGTAAGCGAGTAAAGGTTGAAGCTGGTCTTCAATCCCTGTGTGTGATGTCACCTGGTGGTGCCTCATCAATTCCTAACATAGAAACCCCTGGATCTTCTGGCCAACCTGATGAAGAATTCAAGCCGAATGCAGCAATGGAGGAAATGATCATCAATTTTCTCATAAGAGTAAGGCTTCCTTCTTGAAAAGAAAGAAAATAAATCCCACTTTTGGGTCAGATTATGGTCACACCACCAAAGTTTATACAACCCGTCATTGAATAGGAACTTAACCTGTAAATATCGTCAAACCTCAAATTGCATGAAACAGTTTCAAGTAAATTTTGCAATACTTGCCTTACATCTCTTATTGCATGAAACAGTTTCATTCCTACCACGTGATTGTTCTTGCCTTTGTGAACACTTTCAACAACTTGTCAAATACTCTGCTTTTTAACTTGTTTCTGAATTTGAAGTTGATGTTGTGCTAGTTTTCACCATGGCTACATGTTGTCTGTCCCTTAACTTCTTTAAACTACTACAAATTTTTTGCGTACTTTCATTGGCAACCTTAGTGCTTAGGCCACTACTTTTGGCCTAAGGTGCTAGGGTTCTTCCGTAATCTTAGTTGTATCTAATCTGCAAAATTTGTTGTGTTATTGCTATAGTTATTTTAGTTGCTTTAATGTGTTCACTTGCTGACATCCACTATCCGTTTTGAATTTCCATGGAAGCAACCAGCAAATTTATAAAGTATGCCTATTGGTTACACTTTTCATAATTTGACATTTTCTTTGAGTGCTGAGAAATTAATTGGTCACACATTTCCATCAGTTGATCTGCATGTAAGTTTGTCATGTTATGATTTGAGATTGTGTTATTACCAGTCCTGAAGTGGTATTGACTTTGGCTTCCTGTAAGCAGGTAGCTTTGGTGATAGAGCCCAAGGATAAGGAAGCAAGTCTCATGTACAAACAAGCTTTAGATCTCCTATCACAAGCATTGGAGGTGTGGCCAAATGCTAATGTGAAATTCAATTATCTGGAGAAGCTGCTAAGCAGTATTCAACCATCTCAGTCAAAAGACCCGTCGACAGCTCTTGCACAGGGCCTGGATGTCATGAACAAGGTGCTGGAAAAGCAACCACATTTGTTTATCCGAAATAACATCAACCAGATTTCCCAAGTATGACTCAATGAAACCTTTGTTTTGTTTGGTGTATCTATAGTATCTCTCTCTCTCTCTCTCTATATATATATATATATATATATATGGTAACTTCCAACCAGTGACGGTTCTTTCACCTAGCAATACCATTCTACTGAGAGGTGCAGGCACAGGAACAGGAAGTCTGATGAATAATACCAGTTTTTTTTTAAGATAAGACAAAAAGGGATCAGATTCACATTCACAAGTGTTATCAAAACGTAAAATGCGAATACGACAACCATACTGAATTTTTCTTTATTTTTGAAAGGTCTCAAAAATAAAAAATAATTCAAAACGAGCTTTCATAAGAAATAACCAAGTCATACGAGAATAATCATCCACAAATGTCATAAAATAAGGGAATTTATTGGATTAAATATTTTTTATTGGGCCCCATATATCAGAATATACTAATTCAAAGAGAGTAGACACACGATTATTGACTCTGATGTTTACTAAGTTGACAAGCTTCACACGACACAGGACAAAGGCTGAGAATTTGACGCTTTAGATTTAGAGGGATGACCAAGACGATAATGTCATTGAAAGGGAGATGACGAAGTCTAAAGTGTCCGAGTAAGTGGATCAAGGTCGAAGTAGTAGAGATCATCGACTTCATGGTTTGTATTAGTCTTCCTCTTCGTCTAGAGATCCTAAAATACACAGTAAGAGGGAAAAAAAGTTACTGAACAATTAAAGGAGCGGATAATCTTGCTAACGGAAAGTAAACTAAAAAGAAATTGAGGGACAAATAAAACCAATTATAAGGACATATCATGACTCAATTGAGTTGTCCCCAAACTTGAAACCTTATAAGAAGTATTATTAGCAAGAGTGACATTATATGGGGAAGTAACAGGGCGATAAGTATAAAATACACTAGACGAACCAGTCATGTGATCTAAATCGTCGGAGTCAATGTTTCAGGGACTGTGAGTGGAGGATAATAAATAAGTGAAAGTGATACTTGACTGGGTAAATGGAGCAGTAGAGGAAGATGGAGCAGTCAGATGTAGAGACATGAATTGAGCATACTCTTCTCGTGTGATAGTAACCAACTCAGAGTCAGGTGGAGCTGATCGATATATGAGAGCCGGTAGAGAGGAAGTATCATTCTGATAGGAGATCTGATTGCAGCACCAGACGGTTTTTCGATGTAAATCACAACAATAATCGACAGTGTTAACCTCCATGACCACAATAAGTGTAAGAACGAGGACCTCCACAATTGCCACAACCTCCATTACAGTCGCCAATGTGCCCTCCCCGATCTCGACGACCATCGCGATTGTCATGGCTACCCTGAGAACTATCATTGTGGCCAGTGAGAACAACAAGAGTTGAGCGGTCAGTGGACAAGTCCTAAACAATACCTAAGGAGGAAGAGTGAGTAGACATGGTAGCATAGTAAAAGAGAGAAGACCTCAAGAAGAGATGGAAGACTGGACTCACCCAAAATTTGGAAGCGAATAGGTTCATATTTAGGTTTCAAATCCATAAGGAAACAAACAACATCCAACTCCTTACGTTGCTTCTGCAGAACAGTCACATAAGTAGTAAACGGGTGGTGGTAGGTCTTCAATTCCTCACAAACACCCCGAATTTGAGGGTAATAATTTTCGAGACTCAGAGCACCTTGTTTTAGGCAAAAATACTGTTCGCACACTATAAGCTCGAGTCAAATTATCTGTGTTAGAATACATGGTGACCAAGTGATCCCAAATTTATTTGGCCGTGTGAAGATAAAGTAACGTAGAACTGATACTAGTCGCAATGCTATTCAATAGTAATGAGACAATCTTTCGCTGGGGAATCGTCCTCCTTATCTTATGTTGGATCTTATAATTGTAGAGGCCACAAGTAGCATAGTCTTTTAACCCAACTCGCTCACTCCTCCAAATATGAACATAAGACAGGCTAAAGGACCCTTTCTCAAGGAAAAGCTTCTTATGACAAGTATGCTAGACTTTTCAAGAAGGTTGTGAATGTCCATTCTCATCGCTAACAAATTGCCTTTTTCAACCTGAAGTCATAGTCCCTTTTGTGCGGGTTCTTCTGTTTAAGATTTAATTCAACTTTTTCCGACTTAAAGGAAGCCCTAATCTTTCTTTACTTTCTAAATAGATCAAATTTTCACTCATTTCTCCCTAGCCGAGAATAACTTTATAGTGGTTGATCGCTCTATCCATCTCGTGTTGTTTTAGCTTTAGCCTTTTCAGTCCTTAGCTTGGCTTGTGGAAGGGCTACTCTTGAAAGGCTAGCTTTAAATTTCTATTCTGAAAGTCACCCTCGACCCTCGTAACGCAACTAACCCTTTTATCTATGACCTGCCGAGCACTTAGCCTTGAGCCAAAAGGATAGATTCTGTTCTCCGATAGCGCATTGTTTTTTTCTTCCACTTGACTTGAAAGAAGGGTTTTTTCTACTCGTTTACAAAGCGAATCACTTGACTAACGGTAACGGGCTACACGAATTGACTTCACTTTTGAGTTTACCCAACAGGATTTTTTCCCGAAAGAGATAGAACTAAACCTGTACCAGCTCTAACGTCTTTCTCTGGTTCCTTAGCTTCTTTCCTTTCTCTTAAACTTAAAGGCCCCTATTTGAGTAAATGGTCTATCATTAACTAGTTCTAAGTGGCTAGAAAGAGGAAGACGCTATGGTTTTTCTTGCCCTTCCCTCACAGTATTACTTCGCTATTGGTCAACCAGCAGTCTTTAGCCTTGCATGGTGGTTCAACTCACTCTTTTTTTTTTTTTTGTGATTGCCTTTAGGACCGAGCATTTCTTCCTTAGATAAGAAAGATTGCTTCTCTATTTCCCTTTTAGTCAAGGTCTAATCTATTCCTCTTATTCTTATCTTTCTCCTTCTCCTTTCCTGCAAGCTAAGCTCTATAAGCTTTCTCTTTTCTCTATCTTGCTAGGGTGTTTATATACTGCTAGAATGAATAAGAACTCATTCTATCTATCCCTGTATTTCCTTTAGTCTGTTTTTTCATTTCCTTTTAGTGAAGAAAAAAACTCTAAGCTATCCTCCCCTTACCTTTTAGTGGGGGTGGTCGTAGAGAGGTTAAGAATGATTGTTGACGAGAGTGAGAAAAAAGTGTCTGATTTGGAAAAAGCTTAAGTTCAAGAGCTGGTCGTAGATCAATTTCTTTTAGCAGGCTAACCTATCTTTTTATGCTTATCCTCTATCCTCTGTCCGCTCTTAGGTGGCTATTTCTTTTTAGGGAAGTGGGATGGCACACGGTTGGTTTTGGAATGGTATACCCGAGGGAAATAGATCTTGTATGTAGTGTTAGAACAATATAAAACAAATAAGAATGAAGTAGATGGGCTGGTATCGAAGAGCTGAGTGGGGATATAGATTTTAGGGTAAGTACTGACATTGACTTCCTTGCTGTACTAGTAGTGTAGTGTAATAAGGATAGTGCTTTGATCTACGACCACCATCCTTGCAAAAGGTACGAGGGTTCTAGACTCCTCTCTGTCTTCTCTTTCTTCCTCATGTAGTAAGTATTGTAATAGGTAGCTAGGAGAAGTAATTCCATCCTTTCTAGCTTCAATCTTCTATGGATTGACAACTCCTATCCTAGCCGCTAGTGGTCCTATCCTATCTACCAAACGATGCGCATTCTTGATTGTTTACATCTAACATTGTCCTATCGTCTGCCTTCTTTCTTTCTATCACTCAATACTAGGATTAGCCCCCATTAGAATGCATTATATGTAGCCATCTTTCTCCTACCGAAAGAATATACTCGGTCCTTAGGAAGTACTATAGATTGAGTCCTTTCCCTCTTTGTCTCTCTTCTTTCAGTACTAGGAGTTTGACTTCTTTCTTTTAGATTGCTCCTGATATGGATATGTAGATGAATCCCGATAATGATCTCGAACTGCTACTACTACTATTATATATGTGTCCGAGCTTGAATATAAGAATCCATTGAGACTACTGATTCTGGGCCAGGCGCAAGGATTGCGATACCAAACCAAGCTGCAAATCCCTAATCTAGATGGTTTGGACCGGAGGAGAAACCAGATGAAGGGATGAAGTAAGGCATGCCGGTGGATTAGACATTCCATCTCAGGTAGAAGAAACCGGTAGCTTGTTGAAATGAGAGATATAAGAGATTGGCTATCCTCCCCGCTTCATTCTCTGTGTCGACCTTAGAACTAGAAGGTGGAAAAACAAATGAGAGGGGGTGGGGAGTACAACTACTATATTAATCTCAACTAAGGACTTCTTGATCGGTGAAATCCTTTGATCTGTGGTACAATACGATTGGAGGAGAAGAAAGAGAAATGAGTGTTTTTCCACCGCTATAAAGTCTTAACTGAAATGCAAGTCTTTTATTGCTTTCAGAACTGGGGCTTCCTTTCTTTATCTCTGTGATGATATTAGAAGGCAGGTTCTTATGCCCACTATGTCCCTCCTTCGTTCTGTCCCCGACTCTTGTGAGCTTGGTGATGGAACCCCAGTTATTAGTTGGATTGGTACCATTGTTTGCCTAAGCCAGTGAAGCGGTATAAATGATCGCTGCCATCTTGCACTCAATCGAAAGGACCCTGCCTAAACTACCAAAAGGGCTTTGATTCAAGATTCTACCAAAGATAGCTTTCATCGCGCAGGGCTGATTCCGCTTGGAGAGGAGGTTTTGGGCTTGAGCATTCCCAATCCCTTCCTTAATGATGTGATTTAGTTTTTGCGTGGTTTGCATCATTCTATATCCAAGTCCGTGTGTCTGGCAACACATGGAATAGGGACCACAGCTTGCGCATTANTGGTTGCATGGTTTGCTTCATTCTATACCCAAGTCCGTGTGTCTGGCAACACATGGAATAGGGACCACAGCTAGCGCATTACGGCTTGAACGACATAACATTCTAATCAACAACTGTAATATATAACTAGATGTTCTGCTGCCTGATTGTGTGCGCAGATGTAGGCTTGCGGTTCGTGGCATAAGCGAGAATGGACTTTCAAATAGCTGTTAAGGGTCACCCAAAGCATCTTTGACCGGAAGACTGAATGGGCTCACCGCTCTTAGTTTCGCTGTCAAATCTTTCCCCAACCTTGTCCTCCCTTGGGGCTTTGCTCGAGGTGCGCGTCTTTCAATACTTCCTTTGTTAGTACGCCTATAGCCTTGTTGCTAAAGTTGTAGCCCTAGCTTCCACTTCTTTGGTTGTCTCTTTCCTCAGCTGATATTGAGTGCCCCAGTATTGATACAGGAAGGTCTGGACATGAATCAGAAACAGTAAAACCTTAACCCTAGGATCAAGGCTTATTCCAAATCTTTAGACCGACCTCTTTCTAATAACAAGATTTTATCCTCATGCGCCACAACTTGCCAATTGCTAAGCGGGCTCAGAGCCCTAGTGCTTTAGTTAAAGCGGAATTGCATATTTAGCACTAACGAAGAAGAAACCTTAATTGCAACAAACAACAAGAATCTGATCAAGGACTTACATCATACCTTGGGGCGGGATCTACTATCGACATGGAAGGAACGGAACTCCGGAGCCAACCTTCAAGTAGTATGCTTCAANGTGCCCTAGTGCTTTAGTTAAAGCGGAACTGCATATTTAGCACTAACGAAGAAGAAACCTTAATTGCAACAAAGAACAAGAATCTGATCAAGGACTTACATCATACCTTGGGGCGGGATCTGCTATCGACATGGAAGGAACGGAACTCCGGAGCCAACCTTCAAGTAGTATGCTTCAAGCTCCACGAAGATTTTTAGAGTTGATGCTTGGGTGTCTGCTTTTTGGATTGTTGGCATATATATATATATATATATATTTGTGCATGTGTCTCTTCCTGTCATTTATATCTTTATGAATTCCATAATTACACTGCTGTGTGATCTGCAGATTCTTGAACCTTGTTTCAAGTACAAAATGCTAGATGCTGGAAAGTCATNTATGAATTCCATAATTACACTGCTGCGTGTTCTGCAGATTCTTGAACCTTGTTTCAAGTACAAAATGCTAGATGCTGGAAAGTCATTGTGCTCCCTGTTGAAGATGGTTTTTGTTGCTTTTCCTCTTGAAGCAACTAGTACACCACAAGATGTGAAGCTGTTGTATCAGAAAGTTGAGGAACTCATACAAAAGCACCTTGCCGCACTTACAGCTCCTCAGACATCAGGCGAAGATAATTCTGCGAACATGATTAGTTTTGTACTGTACATTATTAAGACATTGTCAGAGGTGCAGAAGAATTTCATTGATCCAAATAATTTGGTTCGTGTCCTTCAGCGCCTGGCACGGGATATGGGATTGGCAACTGGTTCTTATATGAGACAAGTATGGCCTAGCTTTCTAATATAAAATTTATTTCTTTTCTGTGACTTTAGGAGATTCACCTACTTTCATGAGGTGTAGTGGGGGGTATTTGATGTTATGAATTACTAAACGCATACATGTAATTGCTCAGGTGAGACCAATTTTCTGTTCCATCTATATGTTATGTCATCAGAGCCAATCTGGTTAACGAAAAGCATTGCATGCTATCCATTTTTCTTGTTCGTTGATGATGGAATAGAATTCCCCAACTAATTTTTGATGTGTGTGCAAGTTTTTATGTCTTGTTTTATTTGGTATTCTGGGTCTACATGTACCTAATTATTTGGAATTTCAGGGTCAAAGATCAGATTCAGATTCGGCAGTCACTTCTTCTCGTCAAGTTGCTGATGCTGGAGTTGTCATTGCTAATCTTACATTCATATTGAAGCTTATTAGTGAAAGGATCATGCTTGTTCCAGATTGCAAACGATCTGTGACTCAAATTATGAATTCCCTGCTCTCTGAGCATGGCACTGACCCTTCTGTGCTTCTCTGCATCCTTGATGTGGTAAAGGGGTGGATCGAAGATGATTTTGGTGGGCCTGGAATGCCTGTTGCTTCCAGTACTTTCCTCACCCCAAAGGAAGTCGTTTCTTTCCTTCAGAAGCTTTCACAAGTGGATAAGCAGAACTTTTCCCCCAATGTTCTAGAGGAGTGGGACAAGAAATATCTTCAGCTTCTTTATGGGCTTTGTGCTGATTCAGATAAGTAAGGATCTCATTATCTATTTATTTGAGTTGCAACTTTGATCAATCCGTTAAAATAATGACTTGATTGACTTCCAGATACCCTGTGTTACTACACCAAGAAGTGTTTCAGAAAGTAGAGCTGCAATATTTGCTTGGTTTAAGGGCCAAGGATCCTGAAATCCGTATGAAGTTCTTCACCCTTTATCATGTATCTCTTGGGAAGACACTGTTCATACGATTGCAATATATTATTCAAATTCAGGAATGGGAGGCTTTGAGTGATGTATTTTGGCTCAAACAAGGCCTTGATCTTCTTCTTGCCATTTTAGTCGATGATAAGCCTATCACCCTTGCTCCAAACTCTGCCAAGGTTCCACCACTTGTGATGCCAGGTTCTCTTCCTGATTGTTCTGGGGTGCAGCCCATGGTTACCGATATTTCAGAAGCGGCAGATGAGGCTCCTCTAACATTTGATAGCCTTGTATTAAAGCATGCACAGTTTCTGAATGCTATGAGCAAACTTCAGGTATTACATTCACTTTTTTTATTTTTTATTTATTTTTAGTTGACATTGTATATGGATCTTTTGTATCTTAGCAGTGGTAGATTACCTTAGGGACAAACTTCTTAAAGTTTGTGTTAATGACACTGACAGCCACCGTTGTTAGGCCTATGTATGGGGACATGGCAGTATTACTGGAACTTACACTTACTCCCCAGCATTGTTGTCAGACTAACACCATTCGGTTTTTTCCCATTTTTACTGCATCCTTTGACAATATTTACTGTCCAAAAAGTCAGCATTGTATATTTCCTGATATCCATCATTATCTTCTCCCTCATATCTAGACACGCGCCACCGCCCATCGTNCGGCTATCCTCAAGAGCACAAACACCATGTCACGTGCCATTCTCACCCACTGTCACTGCCCAAGTTTGATTACCGTTAGCATAGCAACCATAAGATACTTGATAAATTCATCATTAAAACCATCTTGGGCTTCTAAAATGATATAATTGGAGAGACTTTCTTGGGGGACCATGACAGATTTTTATTTTTCATGCGAGCATAGTGAACAGCAATGTGGAACAAGACCTTGGCTGGGAAAGGGAGAAAAAAAACCGGATTATATACATACAAGCAAATGTTAAAAAAACTTAATTTTTCCCGTTTATTTTTTATTCATTATGGTTTTTATTTTTCAGTGTATGGAGATTTTTTTTTATTCTTTTTGATTGCTTTTGTTGGTCAATTCTTCTTGGTTTTCTTTTCGACTCTTCTGATGATATGGGGATATTTATTGTTTCTATATTTTCCTGTTTTGTTTATTTTATTTTTAAACTTATTTTGTTATTTTTGACTTTGAGATTTCTTTTGATAAGAGGAGTTCACAGTACTGTTGATCAACTTACAAAAGGCTAAATGAATATGTTTATTATGGTCAGAATCGGAATTGTAGTAAGAATATTTGTTTGCCGTGCTTTTATTCATTCTCAATAATGGTTTGTCATGGAAGGAATTATACGTGAAGCCAAGACATGAACTAGAATGAAGTGCAGTGTACTTTTGTAGTATGCGATGGGTGATCCTGTGGTAGGGCAATCAACAGTGGGTTTTCAAATAATTTACCCTAGAATACAGTGTTTCGTTGATTTTGATTGAATTTTTACTCCATTGTAGGTTGCTGATCTGGTCATTCCACTGAGAGAGCTGGCTCATACGGATTCAAATGTTGCGTATAATTTGTGGGTGTTGGTCTTCCCCATTGTCTGGGTGAGTTTACACAAGGACGAACAAGTAGCACTTGCTAAGCCAATGATAACTCTCTTATCAAAAGATTATCACAAGAAGCAGCAGGCACACCGGCCAAATGTTGTGCAGGCTCTTTTGGAAGGACTTCAGTCAAGCCTCCCTCAGCCTCGAATGCCTAGTGAACTCATCAAATACATTGGAAAGACTTACAATGCATGGCACATCGCATTAGCTCTGCTGGAAAGCCATGTAATGTTGTCCTTGAATGACTCAAAGTGCTCTGAGTCTTTGGCTGAGCTTTATCGTTTGCTCAATGAAGAAGATATGAGGTGTGGATTGTGGAAGAAACGGTCAATTACTGCAGAAACAAGGGCTGGGCTTTCACTTGTTCAGCATGGTTACTGGCAGCGGGCTCAAAGCCTCTTTTACCAAGCCATGGTTAAGGCAACCCAGGGCACATACAACAACACAGTACCAAAGGCTGAGATGTGTCTCTGGGAGGAGCAGTGGCTCTATTGTGCTAGTCAACTAAGTCAGTGGGATGTTTTAGTAGACTTTGGAAAACTTGTTGAGAATTATGAAATATTGCTTGATAGTCTTTGGAAACAGCCAGATTGGGCATATCTGAAAGATCAGGTAATTCCAAAGGCCCAAGTAGAAGAGACTCCAAAACTTCGTATAATCCAAGCCTATTTTGCTCTTCATGAAAAGAATACAAATGGCGTGGTGGATGCTGAAAACATGGTGGGAAAAGGTGTTGATCTTGCTTTGGAACAGTGGTGGCAATTGCCTGAAATGTCTGTTCATGCCAGAATTCCTCTTTTGCAGCAGTTCCAACAGCTAGTTGAAGTTCAAGAATCGGCCAGAATCATAGTGGATATTGCCAATGGAAGCAAACTTTCTGGAAGTTCCGTTGGCGGTGTAAATGGTGTGTATGCCGATCTCAAGGACATCCTTGAGACCTGGAGACTAAGAACTCCAAATGAATGGGACAATTCATCTGTTTGGTATGATTTGCTCCAATGGAGGAATGAAATGTATAATGCAGTCATTGATGCTTTTAAGGATTTTGGCACCACAAATTCACAACTTCATCACCTCGGTTACCGTGACAAAGCATGGAATGTCAATAAGCTTGCCCACATTGCTCGGAAGCAGTGCCTGTATGATGTTTGTGTGTCTGTGCTGGAGAAGATGTATGGGCACTCAACGATGGAAGTGCAGGTGCCCAAAATTTTTCCTGTCTTTTGTTTTGGTTCTTTTCCTTTCTTGGGCGTGGGGGAGATGGAGAATAGGATACAGTCATCTTATGAATTTTTTGTGTGACATGTTTGCAGGAGGCCTTTGTTAAAATAAGAGAACAAGCAAAGGCTTATCTAGAAATGAAGGGAGAACTTACCAGTGGTCTTAGCCTGATCAACAGTACCAATCTGGAATATTTTCCTGTTAAACATAAAGCAGAGATTTTTCGTATTAAGGGTGATTTCTTGATGAAGCTAAATGATTGCGAAGGTGCCAATCTTGCATATTCAAATGCCATAAGCCTCTTCAAAAACTTGCCTAAAGGATGGATTAGCTGGGGAAACTATTGTGACATGGTATGCTTATTGCAATTTCTAGTCATACTCTAGGTTTTGCCGATAACTTAAAGTATCTGATCTGCAATTATATTTTCTAGGCTTACTCAGAAACCAATGAAGAGATTTGGTTAATAAATTCTGTGAGCTGCTTTCTTCAAGGTATCAAATTTGGAATTTCGAATGCGAGAAGCCACCTAGCTCGTGTTCTATATCTTCTAAGCTTTGATACTCCCAATGAACCCGTGGGGAGAGCTTTTGATAAGTACTTGGACCAGATACCACATTGGGTTTGGCTTTCTTGGATTCCCCAGCTCTTGCTTTCCTTGCAGAGAGCTGAAGCTCCTCATTGCAAACTTGTTCTTCTTAAAATTGCCAATGTGTACCCACAGGTGAATTTTTATGGTGCTTCTTGTGGAGGACATCTAGGTACATGCTTTCACACCCATCTCTTTGGTATTGATTTATGTCAACTTTTGAATGTTAGGCATTGTACTACTGGCTGCGCACATATTTGCTCGAACGTCGTGATGTTGCAAATAAGTCTGAATTTGGAAGATTGGCAATGGCTCAGCAAAGAATGCAGCAGAATGTCTCTGGTGCTGGTGCTCCTGGCTCTATTGGCTTGGCTGATGGGAATACAAGAGTGGCTGGTCAGGGTGGGGTTTCTTTAGCTGACAATCAAGTTCATCAAGGAGGTCAACCTGGTGGTGGTGTAGGATCTCACGATGGTNGGAACTCTTACAATCAGGTTTATTTTGGTTTCAATGTTACAACTTTGTTGTGCATTCTCATAAACATGAAACATAATAATCTTGTGCAGTAAAGGAATGAGTATAACTTTTAGTTTTTAATTGCATGCAAACCCTTCTCATGCAAGGTAATGCCAACCATTGGTATCAGACTGCTTTTTTTGCCCCTTCTTATCTATGATGTTCTTGCTTCAATTGTTCTTTGGTTTTATGTTCAGTTTTCTTTTTTTATTTATCACAGTTTTTTTTTCTTTTTTGGGTTATTATTTATATATCACATAGTTAAGCTGGAATGCTTATTTATATACTGTTGTATTGGTGACATTTTTTCAGGAAGTTGCACCTGATCATACAATAAAACTAGATAGGATTGGAGCTGATATTCCGATTGTGAGAAGACATGGAAGCAGTTTCCGGCGCTTGACTCTAATTGGCTCAGATGGCTCCCAGCGCTATTTTATTGTCCAGACATCTTTGACTCCCAACGCTAGAAGTGATGAACGCATATTACAGCTTTTCCGCGTCATGAACCGAATGTTTGATAAACACAAGGAATCCAGACGTCGCCACATATGCATTCACACTCCAATCATCATCCCTGTGTGGTCACAGGTGATAGTTCAGCCTTGGTAAATGTTAGTTTGTTCATTTCTGTTCTCTTCTTGGACACTCATAAACATGCTAATAGGGGTTCCTCCCAGGTACCGTGATCTTGTGCTTTTCACTCTCTCTGCTCTCTATAGATTTCTTATGTGTGCACTGTGTGGAACTTAGTAAAATTGCCAAAAAAGTGATACTTGCAGCAAATCCAAGAAGGATTATTTACTGAACTATTCTAATAATAGTAATGGATGCTTGACCTAGGTCCGCATGGTGGAAGATGATTTGATGTACAGCACCTTCCTTGAGGTATATGAGAACCATTGTGCAAGGAATGACCGAGAGGCAGACTTACCTATTACCTATTTTAAGGAGCAACTGAACCAAGCTATTTCTGGCCAGATATCACAAGAAGCTGTAATGGATCTCCGTCTCCAAGCTTATAATGACATTACGAAAAATGTTGTGACCGACAGCATATTCTCGCAGTACATGAAGAAGACTCTGCTGAGTGGAAATCATATGTGGGCTTTCAAAAAGCAGTTTGCCATCCAGTTGGCCCTCTCAAGTTTCATGTCATATATGCTTCAGATTGGGGGGAGGTCTCCAAACAAGATATTATTTGCTAAGAACACTGGGAAAATATTCCAGACAGATTTCCATCCTGCATATGATGCTAATGGAATGATCGAGTTTAATGAACCGGTGCCTTTCCGCTTGACAAGGAATTTACAGGCATTCTTCTCCCATTTCGGTGTGGAAGGCCTTATTGTGTCGGCCATGTGTGCGGCATCACAGGCTGTGGTCTCACCTAAAGTGAGTTTTATAGCAGAAATGCGTTAGCTTCAACTTTTAGCTGGTCTTTTTTCGTTTTTCCTCCCAATGCTGACTAATGGTATCTTAAATACCTTCCATTGCAGCAAAGTCAGCATTTATGGCATCATCTAGCTATGTTTTTCCGCGATGAGCTATTATCTTGGTCTTGGAGAAGACCCCTTGGCATGCCTCTGGCCCCTATTAGTTTGAACCCTGTTGACTTCAAAAAGAAGGTCACCACAAATGTCGACCATGTTATTGCTCGGATCAAGGGAATAGCCCCACAGTACATCTCTGAAGAGGTATGGTTTTGCCTGCAATTTCACAAAATTTTCCATGGATGCCTCCTTTCAACTACATTAACTTTAGAGCTTCAGCAATTTTCAAGTAAAGAAAACATTATGTGCTCTTAAAATCCAAGATCAAAAGCCAAATATAGTGAAGGAACTCTAAGTTTCATGCACTATTGTGTTTACGGATACTAAAAAATANAGATTGGGGGGAGGTCTCCAAACAAGATATTATTTGCTAAGAACACTGGGAAAATATTCCAGACAGATTTCCATCCTGCATATGATGCTAATGGAATGATTGAGTTTAATGAACCGGTGCCTTTCCGCTTGACAAGGAATTTACAGGCATTCTTCTCCCATTTCGGTGTGGAAGGCCTTATTGTGTCGGCCATGTGTGCGGCATCACAGGCTGTGGTCTCACCTAAAGTGAGTTTTATAGCAGAAATGCGTCAGCTTCAACTTTTAGCTGGTCTTTTTTCGTTTTTCCTCCCAATGCTGACTAATGGTATCTTAAATACCTTCCATTGCAGCAAAGTCAGCATTTATGGCATCATCTAGCTATGTTTTTCCGCGATGAGCTATTATCTTGGTCTTGGAGAAGACCCCTTGGCATGCCTCTGGCCCCTGTTAGTTTGAACCCTGTTGACTTCAAAAAGAAGGTCACCACAAATGTCGACCATGTTATTGCTCGGATCAAGGGAATAGCCCCACAGTACATCTCTGAAGAGGTATGGTTTTGCCTGCAATTTCACAAAATTTTCCGTGGATGCCTCCTTTCAACTACATTAACTTTAGTGCTTCAGCAATATTCAAGTAAAGAAAACATTATGTGCTCTTAAAATCCAAGATCAAAAGCCAAATATAGTGAAGGAACTCTAAGTTTCATGCACTATTGTGTTTACGGATACTAAAAAATAAATAGTTAGAGATAGACACGTACTTTCCTTCCCTGTTTCAATTTATTTATTTTTGGTTTGGTGAAACCAATCTGCTTGTTATGCCCTGATCTTGTATCTGTGTTTGCTTGTTTGAAACTAATTACATTAGGAGGAGAATGCTGTGGACCCGCCTCAGTCTGTGCAGAGGGGTGTGACCGAGTTAGTTGAAGCCGCACTGACTCCCAGAAACTTGTGCATGATGGATCCAACATGGCATCCCTGGTTTTAGTATGGTGCCTAGTTTTGGTAAATTATGAGCTAGCCAGTCAATCAGAAAGCCAAAAGCATGGGTTCCTTGTAATTGAGATGTAAATATTGGCAATGTAAGATGGTGTCTGATTGACATGGATTGTTCTTATTAGTGTCCCTTGTAAATTACTTGTGCTAATGGAAATTCTTCCCGAGTATACATAGCTCTTGCATTTTGCACAATGATTTAAGTTTATCCTCATGATTTACATTGTTCTATGCTTGCAGGCACCTTTTTGGCCATCTGATCCATGCAATGTTACATTTTATTGTGGGAAGAACCATACGAATTCTGTTCATTCCTAGCTACATGAATTTCCTTTTTATTTTGTTACCGAGATACCTCTGTACAGATGTAACAATCCACTTCCTCTCTAAGGTGACCTGAGAAGGGAGAGGGAGAAATCAACGACTTCAAAATGGCATTCAATGGCAACAACAGCCACATTGATGAATGAAGACTCTACAAATACTCTGGAAAGATCAATGGAGGAGGATGGCCACCTCCAGAGAAGTACAAAGAAAGTAAAGGAAAACCATATAATCATCGAAGAAGAGATGGCTATAGATCTATCTACCACCAAAGCAGTTGTTTCTGTCTGGAAGCACCCAGGAAGCCCCCAAAATCAGAAACAACAATGCTGCTTTATTGGAGGACACTTCATCTATTTACTTTGATCCAGATCTGTGTGAGAGTGACTCGAACGAGGATAGAGGAACAAAGGCCAGATCTGTATGAGAGTGACTCGAATGAGGGTAGAGGAACAAAAACCCCGCACCAAGATGGAAGATACAATAGTCATTGACATCTCCGATGAGCAATAAGAATTTTGTGACTTTTCTGGACAAAAAGGTAGTTATATTTATTTAAATCAAGAGTCTACATTTCCCCAAACGTTAACAAAAAAAAAAAGCTAGGCTAGGTAACTCGGTAGAAAATTTGTGGTTTCACTTTGACAAATAACTGAGGGAAATATCTAGGCATCCAAATTCTGCAGAACAGAAAATCAACCCAACATTTCTATTATCTAATTGAAAAAACACAGGAAAAAGTGGGTCTGGCTCCTCTACAGTAACCAGGTAACAGCATAGCAAACGGTTAAGTGGAACAGCGTTGTTTCACTTGTTTTTACAATTTTTTATTTTCTTAATTTTCCCTTTCCAAGACGATGTCATTTCACTAAAGCTAAAAACTACATCTAAAACCCTTCTCCTACTTTTGGCTTCGTCAGACTCGGGTGCTCCTATCTCTCTCTCTCTTCTCTTACCTCCTGCGACAAAAAAGCTCCCGACTTCTTTCCGTCTCTCGCTGATCGCTGAGGAGTGCTCAGGTTTGTGCTGCTATTTTGGGTTATCGATTTTGCAAAAATGGACCTAATTTTAGATTTTTTGGATTGAATACAATATAAGATTTGGTTTGTGCTGTTTTTATTTTTTTTAAAATGCTATTGTACAGTTAAAAATGTTATTGTTCTATGTGAAAGTCTCTTATCTTTATGCAGTTGAATTTGTATACTTTTCTTGAACCGTTTTGTAATCACATCATTTTTAGCCATTTTGCCACTGTACATTTTTCACAATGCCAGTAATTCAGGAATACACGTAGAAATCTCATGATACAGAGGTTAGAGGGTTATGGTAATGCATTTCCTCAGTTGATAATTTTGTTTTTCTACGTTTAGGTTGAGGCCAAAAGTGTGAACCCTAAAATTGGACTTCAAATTGCAAGTGATATGGAATTTTTGACATACTGATGGCATCCCTATAAGTCAAGCATGCTTTCTCAAAATTGAAAGAGATGATCATATTTTGACTTGCAAGTGTTACCTATATTTTGACTCCTGGGATTTTTTAGTGTCAATAGTTTTANAACAATTAAAGACAAGACTCTATCATGTCTAATCATACTTGGGAATTAGTAGAGTTACCTTCTAGTGCAAATCTATTGGGTGCAAATGGATTCTTACAAGGAAAATTGAAAATTGATAGANATGATCATATTTTGACTTGCAAGTGTTACCTATATTTTGACTCCTGGGATTTTTTAGTGTCAATAGTTTTATTTTGCATTTACCAATTCATGGTAAAATTTAATTATGGTTTCTGTCAATGGGATTTGTTAGGGATTTATTGCTTTATTTAGATGTTTCTGATTTGTATTCTTCTTACATGATGTTGCTTTCTTTAGTTGATAAAACCAAAAAATTTAACCCTAAACCTACATATCTTTCTAAATTATCACGTTTGCTTTTCCTTTTTGAGTGCACCCATTTTAGATTGGGGTTGGACCTTTCTCCTTTTAATTGACTATCAATTTTAACAAACATTTTGGTCTTAAACCTTTGTGGTAATTTCCAACGCCTATTTGGGGTCTTAAACAATTAGTCAATCCCTCATTTTTGTAAGGTTTTTTATGCAATTGCATGCAAACATGGATCATTCATGGCACACAATTGTTCTGAAGTTCATCTTTTTAGATTTGGTTAATTGTTGGCTTCTGTTTTGCTGCTGTGCTACAATGTTTGTTGCAGCCTCATCAAGGTTGCTACTATGTGTGCTGCTATGCTTCTGTTGTGCTATGTGTGCTGCTATGCTTATGTTCTAAAGTTCATCTTTGAATGCTTCTGTTGTGCTGAAGTTCATGTGATATGTTGGCTGGGTGGTATCAATTTATGGTTCAATTATCTGATGAACATAGAGAGTATTTGGTTTTAGTTAAGACTATTGATGAGATAGTCAATTGTAGTTATCAGAAGTTTGAAATGGAGGGAATATTATGTGGTCATGCACTTAAAGTCTTGGATATAATGAATATTAAACAAATTTTCGAACAATACATATGTAAGAGATGGAGACGAGATGCAAGAAAGAGTTGTAGGACAGCCCCCATTTTAATGTCAAATGAAGAGAATCCCAAGCTAACGGTGGCGTCATGTTACAGGTAGCTTTGTCCTAGAATGGTACAACTAGATGCTCGATGCTCTAGTCTTTAACCTGCATATCAATTGGTGTCACGTAGTATTGAAGAATTGTTCAAACAAGTAGATAGTATGTATGCATCAATTGGTGATGGTGGCAATGATTCAATCTATGAAAATGTTGACCCAATCCATGAAAATGTTGATCCAAGTGGAATAGAAAATGTTGACTTAAATCTTCTCCAAGTTAAAGGTTTAAAAAGAAAAGAAGATGGTTACAAGAGTTGAGGTCGACTAAAATCTTGGAATGAGAAAGCAACAAAGAGAAAAAAAGAAGCTTCCCAACCATCATATATGTCTACGGTATTGTATAAATCCAGTTGCATAAGAAACCTATACAAAAATGAGGGCTTGACTAATTGTTTAAGACCCCAAAAAGGTGCTAGAAATTACCACAAAGGTTTAAGACCAAAATGTTTGTTAACATTGATAGTCAATTAAAAGGAAAAATGTTCATCCCTAGTCTAAAATGGGTGCACTCAAAAAGGAAAAGCAAAGGTGATAATTAGAAAGAGATGCAGGTTTAGGGTTAAATTTTTTGGTTTTATCAACTAAAGAAAGTAACATCATGTAAGAAGAATCCAGATCATAAGAATATAAATAAAGCAATAAATCCCTAACAGATCCCATTGACAGAAACCATAATCAAATTCTACCATGAATTGGTGAATGCAAAATAAAATTGTTGACACTAAAAAATCCCTGGAGTCAAAATATAGGTAACACTTGCAAGTCAAAATATGATCCTCTCTTTTCAGTTTTGAGAAAGCATGCTTGACTTATAGGGATGCCATCAGTATGTCAGAAATTCCATATCACTTGCAATTTGAAGTCCAAATTTAGGGTTCACACTATTGGCCTCAACCTAAACGTAGAAAAAAAAAATTATCAATTGAGGAATGCATTACCATAGCCCTCTAACCTCTGTATCATGGGATTTCTACGTGTATTCCTGAATTACTGGCATTGTGAAAAGTGCACAGTGGCAGAATGGCTCAAAATGATGTGATTACAAAACGGTTCAAAAAAGTATACAAATTCAACTACACAAAGATCAGGGACTCTCACATAGAACAATAACATTTTTAACTATACAATAACATTTAAAAAAAAATTAAAACAGCACAAACCAAATCTCATATTGCATTTAGTCCACAAAATCTAAAATTAGGTCCATTTTCGCAAAATTAATAACCCAAAATAGCAGCACAAACCTGGGTACTCCTTAGCGATCAGCGAGAGAGGGAAAGAAGACAGGAGCTTTTTTGTCGTAGGATGTAGGAGAAGAAACAGAGAGAGAGAGAGAGAAAGAGATAGGAGCACTTGAGTCGACGAAGTCGAAGGTAGGAGAAGGGTTTCAGATGTGGTTATTTAGCTTTAGTGAAACGACGTCATTTTGGTAAGAAAAAAAAAATTGTAAAAACAAGTGAAACAACGTCGTTCCACTTAATTGTTTGCTATGCTGTTACCTGGTTACCGTAGAAGAGCCAGATCCAAAAAAACTTTCTAGGTGGAAGGGAGAGGGCTAATTAGATAGATGGAATAGAAGTTTCCAATGGGGTGATGTAGAAGAAAAGAAGAAAGTCCATTTGCTAAGTTGGGATAAAATTTATACACCAAAGGATAGAGAGAGGTTAGGGCCTACAGAAAAATAGGGAAAAGAAGAAGTTCACTGCCTCCCCTACATGAAATGCATTTTGCTGAAACTAAAAGAAATGCTAGACTCAGGAATTAGGTGGGTTATAGGAAATGGGTTAAAGGTAAATTTCTAGAAGGATTGGTGGATTTAATCAAAAAAAAAGTGTTTTCCCAATCCATTTCTCATCATGTTACAATTTTCCCAACTCTCACAGGATTTTTTTGCTGTTGTATCTACCAAAGAAAATGTTAACAACACACCTAAGACAATGCAGAAATGAAAACGCAGCAGCACAAACCCTCCTAAATTCTGTAAGAAATGATAACCGACCAGCAAACATTCTGTTGCTTCATCAATCAAAAAATTGTTAACAACCCATGATTCCATACTCAAGACTGAATCCCAAAAAAAAGAAAGAAAATAACAACCGACAACAAAGAAAGTGTGGAGTCACAAGAAAGACAACCACTGAATAGAGAAATCAAAGCCCCAAACACTCAACCACCACAAATCCATTGACAAGTTTCAATCTTCTTCCAAGTCCTCCGGGAAACGCAGGTGCTTCCCTTCAGGTGTTGGCAAGCCCTTCAAGCGCAATATACCCATTGAAACAGTCGATTCTGATTCACCATCACCACATTCTTCTTCTCCTTCAAGCTCATCATCGCTATTGTACACAAACCGTGTGAGCTTACCAGTAAATTTTGTCACTGTTGTCTCACAGTTCACATTGATCTTGCAAATCCCTTCACAAAGCTCATCAACCAACCCTCCATCGTCTGCTTCAACTTCTTCTCCATCTTCATAGTACGTTGACTTCTTCAGGTCCTTCTTTATCTCTAGTACTTGCATTGACTTGAATAGACCAAATGGATGCATCATCATTATCTGTGAACAACTTCTCTCGACCTTCACTATCTCCTTCTTGGTACGTTAGAACAGAGGAACACCCAGAAGAATCAGACGCCTCTGATTTCTCAGAAAAATCCAACAGTAGAGACCTTGTTATCAAACTCTTCTCAAATTCAAGGTCCTCTTGCTTCTTTCCATCAAGCATTTCATTAATCATCTGACAAACAAAAAATAACAAAAAAAATTGAATACATTATATGGCAAACCAGATCAATCAATTAAAAACTTAAATGTGAATTGGAAAAGTTAAAAAGAATAAGTCTGACTTGCTACACATTGATTCATTTCCTATTAATGTTCCTCATGACACATATGTTAGTAATATACCTTTGTCAGATCCTTCATCTTTTGAGCCAACTATTACTCGTCCTCCTATTATGTATACATATGTTCGCAGAACTCCAATTATCTCCTCTTCGGATGTAGTGCCTCTTCTTTCTCCTCCAGTCGCCCAATTAGGTTCAGACACTGTGGATCATACTCCACGCTATCCTCAGCGCTCTCGCAAATGTCCAGACAAGTTTGGTTGGAGTAATACTTGTTATTCTTCTGACTTTTGTTCTTTTCTTACTTTTATTTATTCTCTATCTGAACCCACCTCCTACAAGGAGGCTTNCTCCTTTCTTCTATCACTTAATTCAAAACAGACATTGAAGTCATTAATAAAGGAAATAAGTGACTCTTACTCCGTAGTATCCCTATCATCAAGATGCCTACAGAACCCAAGATTCCAAGAAACTGATAGATGGAAATAATAACACATTAATGCAATAGAAGACCCATGAAACGAGATAAATGATAAAGACGTAAGATNTTTATTTATTCTCTATCTGAACCCACCTCCTACAAGGAGGCTTTACTTGATTCACTTTGAAAACAAGCTATGGATGAGGAGTTGTCTGTCATACATAAGACCAGAGCTTGGGAGCTAGTGCCTTTACCGCCTGGTAAACGCACCATTTGTTGTAAGTGGGTTTATAAGATAAAAACCAAGTCGGATGGTTCTGTGGAACGATATAAAGTTCGATTAGTAGCTAAAGGATTTGCTCAGGAATATGGTTTAGACTATGATGAGACTTTTGCACCTGTTGCCAAGATGATTATTGTTCGCACTGTGATTGTAGTTGCTGTCATTCGACAATAGAGTTTGTCTCAAATGGATGTGAAAAATGTATTTTTACATGGAGATTTAACTGAAGAGATTTTTATGACATTTTCCCCTGGATTATCTTATAGTTCTAGTCAAGTATGTTAACTTCATCGTGCCTTATATGGTCATAAACAGGCTCACAGAGCATGGTTTGCCAAATTTTTTTCGGTTATCTGTGACTTGGGTTTTCGTGCCAATGATCATGATTTTGCTTTCTTTTTACGATTTATTTCTTCAGGTTCTATTATTCTCTTACTATATGTTGATGATATGATTATTACGGGTGATGACATTGCTGGCATATGCTTATTGAAAATCCAGTTGCAGGACCATTTTGAAATGAAATATTTGGGGCAGTTTAGATATTTCTTGGGTATTGAGATTGCTTCCTCTCCTAAATGATATCTTCTTTCTCAGTCCAAGTATGCTTCAGATGTTATTCAACGAGCTCGTTTATCAGATAATCGGACAGTTGAAACACTTTTAGAACTCAATGTTCGTTATTCTTCGTCTGATGGTACTTCCTTGTCTGATCCAACTCTATATCGCACTATTGTTGGGAGTTTAGTAAATCTTACAATCACTCGTCCGGATATCTCTTATGTTGTTCACATTGTGAGTCAATTTGTTGTTTTACCCACCACCGTTTACTGGGCTGTTGTTCTTCGCATTCTTCGGTATCTCTGTGGTACTCTACATCAGAGTTTACTATTTCCTCACTTTTCATCTATGAAACTCAGGGCTTACTCTGATGCTCACTGGGCTGATGACTTTATGGATCACAAGTCCACTACTGATTTCTGCTTATTTCTCGGGGATTCTCTTATTTCCTGGAAAAGTAAGAAATAAACTATTGTTGCTCGTTCTTCTGCTGAAGCTGAGTATCGTGCTATTGCAGCTACTACAGCTGAGATAGTTTGGTTATGATGGCTCCTTGCTGATCTTGATATTTCGGTATCTTCTCCTACTCTTATGTTCTACGACAACACTAGTGCTATTCAGATTGCTTATAACTCGATTTTCTATGAGCACACAAAGCATATTGAGATTGATTGTTACTTTGTGCGCCATCATCTGCAGCAGGGCACCATCACTCTCCCCTTTCTTCCTTCCATAATGCAGAAAACGAATTTTTTTACGAAGTCTCACACCATAGCACGTTTCCAGTTTCTTTTTGGCAAACTCTTGATATTTTCTACTACATCATGAGTTTGAGATGGAGTGTTAGAATATTAATACTAAGAGTAGTTTAGACATTTTCTTTATGTTGTGTTGCCCTACTATATAAGACTCACTTTGTTTATAGGACTTATTTTGTTTATTTCTAGGTATATGCTGTGTATTACAGATTGGGTTTTCTATGAATAATACATTCTCTTTTTCTCTTCTTCATTCGCATTGATCAATTCTATCAAAGCACACCCCCTATATCTTAGCCTTGGCATGGGGTGTCATTGGGCAAGGCATCCACATGCCTTGGCCATGCCAGCAGGGGCTAACAACTAACCTATATAGATAAGAGAGGGCCATGATTGTGATGCACTCAAAGTTCTGCCTTCCTCATAACCTCATATTTGGTCATGATGATTCAGGGAGTGTGATCAAATGAAAACCAAAACAACACATTGGATTTATACTTGTTGACTATCCATGACAATACCAGGTAAAATTTCTTCAATGGCTTTGTTGATGCTTAAAAAATGTAAATCAATTGGAGGAAAGAAAAAATGTTCTCTACCATTATATTACCAGAATATTAAAGCACTTGAATAATTGTTTACACCAATATAATAGAAAACCCTAAACAGACTGAAATTAAAAGAAACATCAAACAAATACGAACAATTACTCAAATACTTTTAAGTGTGGGATAAAACGAACAAAGTGGCGCAAATATCATTTCTTGGGGATAATGTTTGGGACAAAGGCTTCAATCTTCAATTTTACTTAAATCAACCAGAGATTTTCGGAATAGGTTGTTTGTAATTTTTTGACAACGAACAAAAATTCAACTAGCTCTATCAGTGTCAATTTGATGGTCCTGACCTGACTTGTAATTCTCAACTATATGTACTGCATCATAATATACATTACCCTATGTTCCTCCCATTTTAACAGAAAGGGTACCCTAAAAAAGATACCAGGAAGAGAGACAGTTAGTAGTCAAATTCCTTGCATTATTGATAAGAAAAATGGGACATAAACTATATCTCATGATATGGTCAAAGGCTCACTGACTTATATTCTCAAGCGAATTACTTAGAATTCAGATAGACAATGTTTATAAGATCATTAACTTGAAATAGAATTTGTCAAATAATCGTCACAAAGAAACCCCATGGCCTTCTGCCGCCCCCTCTTCCTAGCCAAGGAGTCTAGGACTTGGTGGATCTCGAGCACTTGGTAACCCATACATGTCCATGGTTCATAACGATATTGGCTCATGTTTATCCTAACTAAAGCATTCTCCTTTTTCATGTCGAAAGAACACATTCCCTTAGACCCAAATTCTAAATTCTTCCTTGGCCACACTTCACCACAACCCCACCAAAAAAAAATATATTTATATACACTTGCTATTCAAAGCAATAGATCTCAATATGTGGCGAAACTACAGTCAGTGAGCTGCAGCAAACTTGGTCTAACAACATTCAACAGGATCGATCAAATGTCTTGTGGTCCTCCAAAAGATTCAGTCAACTTAGAGCATTTAAGAAGACAAAGAGGGATAAGTAATTTGAACTTAAGAGTGGCTATTGGTGTGGTCCAACCTCAGATTCGGATTTTGAATCATGTAAAACCCTAAATACATTAACTTTGGGGTCCATGCTAGAACTCTAGAACTGAAGAAACGAACATATAAAGTACATGAAAGCAACCACTTCCATCAGAGACTATACAGCATATCATACGTAGGAATGTCTATTCTGGGTAAGTTTGCTTCCTTCACGCCCACATTTGGGTTTTGTTTCAAACCCATAAATTTAAAAGATACAGAAGCAAAGAAGTAAATTTTGTAGCTAGGGTTTTCTCTGTATGGTTTGGCAGTCTCTTTCTAGGATTTAATGAGAGAGAAAGCAAAAAGAAAATGAGACTGGTAGCATACTAATGGAAGAGAGAGAGAGAGAGAGAGAGAGAGAGAGATCTGGGGTTGATGATCTTGATGTATCTTTAGAGATATGGGAGAGAACATAACGTCAAGGGGATGATTACCCGTAAGAAAAGGGAGTGTGCCAGTGGGGGTGGGGGTGCACTCTAGGGCACTACATCTGAGGTAGGCAGCTCAGGATTTTGAATAAGAGGACAGATTTTGAGCTTTACTGGCAAATCACAGTCCAACTTCATCAACATATTTTTCTTCATGCATGTATTTATAGATCATATGAATTAGAGCCCTCTTCTCCCATAAGCATTATCGAAGAAAACATATAAATTCAACGAAGGAGGCCTTAAAAAATTCGCTAAGCCCGGCTTCCCTCCTCTTGTTAAGGGAAAATTAATCACAACATGTTGAGTTATTTCAATAAATACATACATATAATCTTTTGTTCAAACTTTCCTCCCAAATATTTTTGAAAAAACCTTTATCCCACTTCGGTACAAAAAAAATTATTGAACATAGGGGTTTTTCATATGTATTTTGATTGGCATAACAATAACAATATTTGTACTGTTATCTTTAAATCGTAATAATTTATTGAATCATAAGTTATAAAACAAATATCCAAATAAGACTTGTGAAAAAAAAATATACAAATGATCACTAAGTTAATATTAATGTTAAGTGGGGAAAAATTATGAAGTAAACGAAACTATTGGATATGTAATGAATACAATGGAAATTAAAAAATACTATAAAATTATCAACAATTTTTTTTCTAATTTTTAAATAAATTATGATATATTTTAGAGTTAAAAACAAAATTTATTTTCATCTTNAAGCATTATCGAAGAAAACATATAAATTCAACGAAGGAGGCCTTAAAAAATTCGCTAAGCCCGGCTTCCCTCCTCTTGTTAAGGGAAAATTAATCACAACATGTTGAGTTATTTCAATAAATACATACATATAATCTTTTGTTCAAACTTTCCTCCCAAATATTTTTGAAAAAACCTTTATCCCACTTCGGTACAAAAAAAATTATTGAACATAGGGGTTTTTCATATGTATTTTGATTGGCATAACAATAACAATATTTGTACTGTTATCTTTAAATCGTAATAATTTATTGAATCATAAGTTATAAAACAAATATCCAAATAAGACTTGTGAAAAAAAAATATACAAATGATCACTAAGTTAATATTAATGTTAAGTGGGGAAAAATTATGAAGTAAACGAAACTATTGGATATGTAATGAATACAATGGAAATTAAAAAATACTATAAAATTATCAACAATTTTTTTTCTAATTTTTAAATAAATTATGATATATTTTAGAGTTAAAAACAAAATTTATTTTCATCTTTAGAAAAGTAAGATTTATTGGAACTATTAAA